GAGACCAGAGAGACGGGCCAGATCTCCGCCGCCCTTCTCGGTGGACCAGACAGCAGCGCCGACGCCGCCGCCGACGCGCGCCAAGATTTCGACGCCAGCCAGGAACGCTTTTCGGGCACCATCACGACCACAGCCCGGAGAAGCCTCGTCCTCAGCGGCAGGCGCCGCTGCTCGGGGCGAGCCCAGACCGCGGTGGAGGATGGCGCACGGAGGGCCTGAGCTGGACCTCCACGTTCCGCCTGAGAAGCGGCAGGAGGGACCAGACAAGCAGATGGCCAAGGCCATGGGCGACGACTCGAACCTCTTGGTCAACCTCTTCCACGACGAGCTGAACGTCGCTCTCGGCAACGACGAGCAACATACCGCCTACTTCGAGTACCTCGTGGACGAGAACACGACGCCCGACGAGCGCCGCGGCTTGATGGGCCGCATCCCGGACAGCTTCGTTGTCAACCAGCGCCGCAAGGACAAGGTGGAGCTCAGCTGGTCAAGGATGAACCTTAGCGAGCGGGAGGAGTTCGAGGGAGCCATTGCCAAGGATTCCAACAACTAGTTCCAACGCCAGGGGCTCATGCCAGTTCCCATCTCCCGGGTCAAGGACGCCGCCGACGCCATCCGGGCGAGGTGGCTCTTCGCCCGCGTGGCAGACGGGAAGGTGAAGGCGAGGCTGGTGCTCCTCGGCTATTAGACCAAGGACCAGGGACAATAACTTACAGCGAGCCCGACGGCCTCACGACGGGTTCGACACGTCATGCTCGCAGTGGCCGTGGCATACCATTGGAAGCTGTTCAAGGGCGACGTGACCTCGGCCTTCCTACAGGCGCACGAGCTGGGCAAGGATCTCTTCATCGAGCCCCACGCCGTGCAACGTAAGGCGTTCGACGTGAAGGACGGCGAGATCCTGCAGGTGGTGAAGCCGGGGTGCGGCATCGGCGAGGCACCGCGCCACTGGTGGGAGGCGGTGGCGAAGGATTTTGCGAAACTGGGCCTCCAGGCGTGCGAGCCCTGCCTCTGCCCAGGTCAGGAGGCAGATCCGGGGGCTCTACGAGTGGGGGGCCTGGGAGGACATGCGCGAGGGGCTTGCCTCCCTCGAGTAGTGTGGCGTCACCATCGAGGGGGGCGAGAAGGGCCTCTTCCTCCACCAGCAGACCGACGTTGACAAGATCCAGGAGGTTCGTGCCGCGAGCGGTACCAAGCGGCGGACTACCGAGACCCTGGCGGATGCAGTCAAGACGGTGCTCCGGGCCTTCTGCGGCGAGATCTACTGGCTCGGCGTGGACACCGCGCCCTTCTTCCTGTCGTGGGTCGCCGACCTCCAGTCAAAGGTCCCCACGGGGACCTGCGACATCTTTACGGCCGCGAACAGCATCGTCGTGGTCGTCAAGCAGAGCCGCCACTCGGGAATGCAGATCTACCGACGCAACTTGGATTGGGCTGGGTCATTCTGGCAAACATGACCGGGGCCACCGGGGTGAAAAATCTCCAAAAAATCTCCGGGGGAATCTCCAACCGGTGATTCGGTGTCCCAAAGATCTCCAAAAAATCTCCGGCCTTTTAAATCTTCCCCAGAATCTCCGGAAAATCTCCCCGCTAGAAGAAATCTCTGAGAAATCTCCGGAAAATCTCGGAACTCAAGAACTAGCATTGGAAATCTCTGGAAAATCTTCAGAAAATCTCCGGGAAATCTCCGGGAAATCTCCGGCCGCATTTGTGTGTAATGTGTACGTATATATACATATATACATATATATATATATACATATATATACATATATATATATGTATATATATACATATATATGTATATATACATATACATATATATATACACATATCTATAAATATACATATATATATATGTATATGTATACATGTATATATATGTTAATATGTTAATATGTTACTGCACGCAGTACTTCACATGCAACGGAGCGTATGGAACATATGCATATGATGTGAAAATTCAATGTTTTCATAAATATATGTAAGAGTGTATATGCCACCGCGTGTGTCAGTATGTGTATCATTCGTCCTGACGGTTGGGGGAAGGGCGTAAACCACTTCGAAAAAGTGTGGCCTGAGAAACAACAACGGGAGAAAAGAAAGCGGAGGGCATCCCGACGTTAAGCCATTGCCGTGACGGGTTGGGCCACGGTCTCTGCCACGGCGCGAACCGTTCAGTATTGAACGATTTTTCTGTCGGGGGATCAAGTGTATGTCGGGGACATAAAATTTGAATGCCCGCGCCCGCGTTGCCGCCGCGCCGGGGCGGCACGTGCCGTGGTTCCAAACATCGCCCCCGGGCCTCTTCTGGAGTGCATTCAATCGGGGATTCGGGGAAAGCCGCCGGGGAAGTCTCGAGACGGGCAGCCAACGTCACCCCCCTCTCGTCCTCCTCATCATCGACATCGACCTCCTCCTCCTCCTCCTCCTCCTCCTCCCTCCTCCTCGTTGTGCTCCTCCTCATGTGTGGCCCATGTATGGCTTCGATGCGGCAGACTGCATGGCCGCCTGTCCGTCCGCCTGCACGGCGGCCCCACCCCGATCGCGGGGCCAACAGTGGGGGCCAGGCTACCAGACGCACCCTGACCGGGCGATTCATCGCCCAGCGCGACTCCGGGAAAAAAACAAAGAGGGAGAGAACACGGCCTAGCTGGGAGGGGCGAGGAGGACGATGACGAGGAAGGCCACGCATGTCACCAGACTTCGCGCCTCGCCCTGCGAAAGGTGCAGTGATCTTCGCTCCCCCGTGCCGCCCCTTGACCCAGAAGTGCGAATCGCGATTGTCTTCGAAACCCTGCGGGCGGCCTGCATCCGCCCAGAAAGGGCCGGAACGTCGCTGCATCCACGCAACCAGGCGGCCTGGTGTCTGGCCCCCCCGGCCTGAACATCCGACGCTGGCACCGCGACCGACGTCGTGAAAAAACAAAGGTCCAAGCTCCCCCCGCCACTGCATTTTTCTGCGGGCCCCGTTGATCGCGACGAGGAAAAGACAGGAACGAGAGCTGGATGAGGATAAGGATGCCAGGGACGATGAGGCGGAATGGGAGGCGAAAGAGAAGGAAGCGAATGAGAGCGGAAGTAAAAGTAGGAGTGAGAATGCCAATAGTCCTGGAAGGAATCAGATTTGTGTTTTCCCCTCGCGCCCTAGCCCTGGCAGCAGTGCAGCGCGTGGAATCCTGCCCGCAGAAGGTATCGCCGCGCTAGTGTGCAAGGTTGAAGGACGACGCGGAGGGCTGCGGCAGAGAGCGGCGAAGACTGCCCACTCGACCCCACACGCGCCCATGTTGGCAAATGCAACCAACGCGAAACGGACGAACGTCAAGGACCGCGCAAGGTGCTTCAAGCAAACTCAAATGCACAACAACAGGAAGGCTGCCCGGCAAAAGAACATGTCGCGCAATGGCTACCAAGATGGCGTTGGCCTCGCAAACACCACCCCCAATCACGAAGGAACGTGCCGGCCAAGAGGGGCGGCAACTCCAGCCACTGGCAAGCGCCCAGTTTGCGCGTGAAACGCATGAGGGCCCCAGGGACGCAAGGAACATACGCCCCCTCCGCCAGCACTGGGCACGGGGGGATGGAGCCCCCCGCCGCGCCGTGCGTGCATCTGCTGGGTGTGAAGTCGAGCCCGTGGGACCCTGGTTCAGGCTCGGACCTTGGGTTCGGCGATGCCTTGCACTGAGCACTCGTGTATGTGTATATATATACACATGCCCTTAAAATCCAACGATAATGTGTACACTATATCATGCCAGCGCGCATATATAAGCCGCGTGCACACGTACTCATTAACATGCACGCGCACGCTGTGTCTGTAGTTGCATCCCAAAGATACATACATATAACCGTGATAAACCAAGCGTGCATGACGGTGCTCACAGGTGTACATACATTGACGCGCGGGTGTGCAAACTGGTGTGCTCATTCACATGTACAGGCGCATGTGAACAGTATACGCGCTAGTATGCGACGGTCGTGGAAGGTAATAAGTGGGTGGAGCCTCTGGGATGCATCAGAGGGGCTCTTTGGTTTGGATGCCTCTTAGAGGCCCCTCGGAGGACTCTTGGGGGCATCTCGGGGGGGTTCGGGGCGGGCTTTTTGGGGGTGTTTTGGGGGCTTCTTGGGAGCCTCTTGGGGCTTCTTGGGGGCTTCTGGGGGCTCTTGCAGCCATCTTGGGGTGAAAGGCTCGACATGTAAGTCCGTGTTCCCCTTCTTGGGCCGCTCTTGGGGCCCTCTTGGGGCTCTGTTCGGCCGTCTTGGGGGCCCCTGGGCCATCTTGGAGTCTTGGGGCCTCTTGGGCTCTCTTGGGGGCCTCTTGGGCTGCGCGGGGCGATCTTGGGAGCCCCTCGGGGCCGTCTTTGACGCTTTCAATGCGGAAAAGGCGAGCCTGTTAAACATGTGCGTTTAAACATCGGATTGGGACGATTTCCGCCTCTTGTGGCCTTGTCGGCGGTCCTCTGGGAGCACTCACTCTTGGGCCGTCTTGGGCACCTCGTGTGCCGTCTCGAAGCCATCTTGGATCGCCGTGGGGGTACCTGGGCCCATCCCGACGCCTTTCTTGGACAGTCTGGGCGCTCTGTTTGGGCCCTCTTGGGCTCTGGAGGCCCCGGGGATGCCCTGGGGAACTCCCAGGCCCACCCCGCCTGGCACCTCCCCTTGGCCCCCCCCTCCAATGCGATGTATACGGGAACCCTGGGGAGAAGAAAAAGGGAAGGGAAACAGCCAAATGTCTCAAACGCCTCTTCACCCCTGACAAGTGACAAGCGGGGGTCGGCAGAAAACGCATCATAAGGATGCCTGCGTAGATTGCCAAGGGCACCCTTGCACCATTGCCCCATACTTCTGCGGCCCATCCCCGACAATGCTCCGCCCAAGGGCCTGGCATCCTGACCGCGCATCCGCATGGTCCGGTCGCACTGCATTCGTTTTGGGCGCCATGGGTCCCTCGCAGCGCCCGACGGTGGATCAATAGTCAATAGCCATTTGGGCCCGATCGAATGTCGCAAGGCTCGGATTTAGGTGTTCAGGGCTTCGCTGACCCCAGCGATTCAGAGAGTTCCGACCGTGGCCCAGCCGGTTTCGCAGAAGACTTGCCGCCGGTGCCATGTGCGCCTGCGCCTCTGGCGGCTCTGGCGGGGCCCGTAGCCCTCCTCGAGGCGGCGCCGTGGCATTCGTGGCTGCGCCGCCCCATGGCCCCGATGACCGCGACAGTCTTAGCTGCAGCTAAGAAGCGCCCCGGCGGCCAGGACGCGACAGAGGTGGCCGAGTGGCGGAGGGTCATCTCGCTGTGCATCGGCGACGAAGGCCGCTGGCTTCGCGTTCCAGTTGTCGTTGGTATCGGCGCCTTCCTCGTTTTTCCCGGAAAGGGCTCAGGCCCAGGGTTCTCTTTTAGTATGTAAACATGTCCCCGGTGCCCAACTTGAAGGAGGCCGGCGGATGACGGGAAGCGTCTTCGAGGTACGAGAAGCAAGCGGGACGTTCTGGCTGAATCCTTGAGTAAATATATCTTTTCTTTAACTATATGGGTTGCCGCGCTGCACGGGATTTTTCGTTAACGGATTCCCCAAAATGGCCATTTCGCCTGAGACATCCTCCTAAAATCGAGGTGTTGGAGGCTATCGTTTAAGACGTCTTATGTTAAAAATGACGGTTTCGCCTGAGACATCCTCAGAAAGTCGGGGTGTTGAAAAATGTCAAGGATTTTTGTTGTGCATGAAAAATGAGCGTTTCGCTTGAGACATCCTCGAAAAAATGAGATGCCGACAGAGGTGTTTTACAACCTCTTATGTTAAAAATGACGTTTTCGCTAGGGACGTCCTCAGAAAATGAGCAGGAGCACGGCAGGCGGAAAAAAAGGAGCACGGCAGAAAATGAGCATTTCGCTGGGGACATCCTCAAAAAAATGAGATGGTCTCAACATCGTCTTGACATCTTTCTTGAGGTGCTTCTAGAGGAAGAAATGAGAGCCCAAAAGGGAGCCCAATAAGGCTCCAAGAGCGCCCTGAAGACTGCAGAAAATTTCAATTTCGCTAGGGGCATCCTCAAGAAATTGAAAAATACGACAACCCTGCTTTGAAACATGCTGTTATGCTATCGTCTTGGAATCGCTCCTGGGATTGTATCCACATGGTCCAAACCAGTCTTCATAAAATGGCGATTTCGTTAGGGACATCCTCGAAAAATAGATGCGCCCAACATCGCGCTGCAATAACTTTTGAGGGCATCAAGATGGCCCCAAAGAGCTGAAACCGAGCTCCAACATGACCCCGAGAGCGCCCTGGAGTCGACCCCAAAATGGCGATTTCGCTTGAGACATCTTCACAAAACTAAAAATGTAGCAGCACCGAAGTTTGCAAAAACAAGCGTTTTGCCTGAGACATCCTCCCAAAATGCGAATGCAGCAGAACACACAGGTTCCTCGAAATTGCAATTTCGCCTGGGACATCCTCACAACAAATAGATCTTAGCGACATCGCGTTTATCAAAAGTAAGCGTTTGGCTCGAGGCATCCTCCCAAAGTGGGTCTGCCGTGCTCCTGTGGTCTGCCGTGCTCCTGTGTGTTCTGCTGTGCTCTTGTGGGGTCTACTGTGCTCCTGTGTGGTCTGCCGTGCTTCTGTGGCGTCTGCGGTGCTCCTGTGGTCTGCCGTGCTCCTTCTTGGTTTGCCGTGCTCCTGTGTGGTCTGCCGTGCTCCTGTGCGGTCTGCCGTGCTCCTGTGGTCTGCCGTGCTCCTTTGGGGTCTGCCGTGCTCCTGTGGAGTTTGCCGTGCGAACGTGTGGTCTGCCGTGCTCCTGTGTGGTCTGGCGTGCTCCTGTATGGTCTGCCGTGCTCTTGTGTGGTTTGCCGTGCTCCTGTGTGGTCTGCCGTGCTCCCGTGGGGTCTGCCGTGTCCTGTGTGGTCTGCCGTGCTCCTGTGTGGTCTGCCGTGCTCCTGTGTGGTCTGCCGTGCTCCTTCTTGGTCTGCCGTGCTCATGTGGGGTCTGCCGTGCTCCTGTGCGGTCTGCCGTGCGAACGTGTGGACTGCCGTGCTCATTTGGGGTCTGCCTTGCTCCTTTGTGGTTTGCCGCGCTCCTGTGTGGTCTGCCGTGCTCCTGTGTGGTCAGCCGTGCTCCTGAGGCGTCTACGGTGCTCTTTTGGGGTCTGCCGTACTCATTTGGGGTCTGCCGTGCTCCTGTGGTCGGCCGTGCTCATTTGGGGTCTGCCGCGCGCCTGTGAGATCTGCCGTGCTCCTGTTGGGGAAACGCCAGCGGCGTTCGGGGTACAACAAAAAGGCGCGTTTATGTTGTACCCGCGCGCGGTCTGCCGTGCTCCTGTGGGTTCCGCCGTGCTCCTGTGGCGTCTGCCGTGCTCCTGTGGCGTCTGCCGGGCTCCTGTGTGGTCTGCCGTGCTCCTTTGTGGTCTGCCGTGCTCCTGTGGAGTCTGCCGTGCTCCTGTGTGGTCTGCCGTGCTCTTGTGGTCTGCCGTGCTCATTTGGGATTTGCCGTGCTCATGTGGGGTCTGCCGTACTCCTGTGTGGTCTGCCGTGCTCCGGTGGTCTGCCGTGCTCCTTTGGGGTCTGCCTTGCTACTGTGGGGTCTGCCGTGCTCCTGTGTGGTCTGCCGTGCTCCTGTGGTTTGCCTTGCTCCTGTGTGGTCTGCCGTGCTCCTTTTGGGTCTGCTCTGCCGTGCTCCTGTGGGGTCTGCCGTGCTCCTGTGGGGTCTGCCGTGCTCTTGTGGGGTCTGCCGTGCTCTTGTGTGGTCTGCCGTGCTCCTTTGTGGTCTGCCGTGCTCCTGTGTGGTCTGCCGTGCTCCTGTGTGGCCTGCCGTGCTCTTGTGTGGTCTGCCGTGCTCCTGTTGGTCTGCCGTGCTCTTCTGTGGTTTGCCGTGCTCCTATGGGGTCTGCCGTGCTCCTGTGGGGTCTGCCGTGCTCCTGTGTGGCTTGCCGTGCTCCTGTGTGGTCTGCCGTGCTCCTTGGGGTCTGCCGGGCTCCCGTGAGGTCTGCCGTGCTCCTGTGTGCTCTGCAATGCTCCTGTGGTGTCTGCCGTGCTCCTGTGTGGTCTGCCGTGCTCCTGTGTGGTCTGCCGCGCTCCTGTGTGGTCTGCCGTGCTCCTGTGTGGCCTGCCGTGCTCTTGTGTGGTCTGCCGTGCTCCTGTTGGTCTGCCGTGCTCTTCTGTGGTTTGCCGTGCTCCTATGGGGTCTGCCGTGCTCCTGTGGGGTCTGCCGTGCTCATGTGTGGTCTGCCGTGCTCCTGCGCGGTCTGCCGTGCTCCTGTGGCGTCTGCCGTGCTCCTGTGTGGTCTGCCGTGCTCCTGTGGTCTGCCGTGCTCATTTGGGGTTTCCCGCGAGCTTGTGGGGTCTGCCGTGCTCCTGTGGGGGAAACGCCAGCGGCGTTCGGGGTACAACAAAAGGCGCGTTTATGTTGTACCTGCGCGCGGTCTGCCGTGCTCCTGTGGGGATTGCCGTGCTCCTGTGTGGTCTGCCGTGCTCCTGTGTGGTTTGCCGTGCTCCTGTGGTCTGCCGTGCTCCTTTGTGGTTTGCCGTGCTCCTGTGGGGTCTGCCGTGCTCCTGTGGGGTCTGCCGTGCTCCTGTGAGGTCTGCGGTGCTCTTGTGTGGTCTGCAGTGCTTCTGTGGTCTGCCGTGCTCATTTGGGATCTGCCGTGCTCGAGTGGTGTCTGCCGTGCTCCTGCGGGATCTGCTGTGTTCCTTGTGTCGTCTCTTTGGTCTGCCGTGCTCGTGTGGGGTCTGCCGAGCTCCTGTGTGGTCTGCCGTGCTCCTGTGGTCTGCCGTGCTCCTTTGGGGTCTGCCGTGCTCCTGTGTGGACTGCCGTGCTCCTGTGGGGTTTGCCGTGATCCTGTGTGGTCTGCCGTGCTCCTGTGCGGTCTGCCGTGCTCTTGCGGGGTTTGCCGTGCTCCTGTCGGCTCTGCCGTGCTCGTTTTGGGTCTGCCGTGTTCCTGTTGGGTCTGCCGTGCTCTTGTGTGGTCTTCCGTGCTCCTGTGTGGTCTGCCGTGCTCCTTTGGGGTCTGCCGTATTCGTGTGGGGTCTGCCGTGCTCCTGTGCGGTCTGCCGTGTTCCCTTTGGGTCTGTCGTGCTCCTGTGGGGTCTGCCGTGCTCCTGTGTGGTCTGCCGTGCTCCTGTGGGGTCTGCCGTGCTCATGTGGCGTCTACCGTCACAAAACTTCAATTGTCCAAAACGGTTCTTCCGGACAATTGCAATTGAAGAAGGGTCAGAATGGTCAAACGTTTATTCTGCCGTGCTCAGGCAGAACACACAAGGAACACGGCAGAATACTCAGGAGCACGGCAGAACACACAGGAGCACGGCAGAACATACAGGACACACAGGAGCACGGCAGAACACACAGGAGCACGGCAAAGCATTCAGGATCAGTGCAGGTCGCAGGGGCGCCGCGTACCACAGGAGCACAGCAGACCAACACGGCCAATCAGCACGGCAACGCCAGGAGTATAGCAGAGCACAGGAGCGCGCCTTCAATTTTTTCCAGTGCGCAATGCCGTGGGTGCTCTTGATAGCCCTCGACGATTAAGGTCGCTCTCTCACGTGCTCTATGTTGTTGGCATATGCTGTATTTGGCTCAATGTGGATGCAAAGCTGCGGCAGGGTGTGCGCGGTGGAGGTGCTTCTATTAGCCCTGTGAGATCCAACTTTCTAGTAGGTGATCCTCGGGGCGATTCTTACCGATGTTTATTTTCGGCATGCTCCGACTGGCGTTCTATATGATGTTTTCCGGGAAATTTCGGAAAAATTGTCACTCCGCTCAAAACATCTGAACAAGACGCGCCCAAGACAGCCACCAGGGCTCCAAGACGGCCCAAGAGCGCTCCAAGACCGCCCTAGAGCGTTCCAAAATGCCTTAAGATGGCTTCTAGACGGTCCAAGAGAGCTCCAAGACGGCCCAGGAGGCCTTCAAAAGGCCTCCAAGACGCCTCAAGAGGCTTCGAAGAGGCCTCACAATGAGCGCCAAAGAGGCACAAACTTATGATTTTTGAATACTTTTGAAGGTTTTTGGGGTTCTCGCCTTTTCCGTTTCCCGACGCTCCAAGACGGCCCAAGAGGCCCGCAAGATCGCCCCAAGACGGCTCAAGAGGCCCCCAAGATCGCCTCAAGACGGCCCAAAAGGCCCCCAAGACGGCCCCAAGAAGGCACCAGAAGGCCCCAAGGCGGCCCCAACACGGCCCCAAGAGGCTTCGCGGCGGCCCAAGAGGCCGTCAATATGGCTCCTAGAGGGGGCACGATGACGTGGGCAGCTTCGAACGCCAGAGCTCCCAGTACGAACGCTGGCGTCCAGAGCTTTGACGACAAACGCTGCTATGAGCAAAAACGGCGCTTCCCGTTCTTGTGCGGTCAGGTTCTTTCCCGGATAAATATCGAGGTCGAAGGAGGCCGGCGGATCAAAATTTGAGGATGTCTCAGGCGAAACGCTTGTTTTTGAAATCCCGATCGATAAATCACAGGGTGCGGGACACCTCAGCACGACCACACCCACAGCATGACCACACCCCAGCACGACCACGCCCAGCACGACCACGCCCCAGCACGACCACACCCCAGCACGACCACACCCCAGCACGACCACACCCCAGCACGACCACACCCCAGCACCAGCACGACCACACCCCAGCACGACCCGATCGATAAATCACAGGGTGCGGACCACCCCAGCACGACCACACCCCAGCACGACCCCACCCCAGCACGACCACGCCCCAGCACGACCACGCCCCAGCACGACCACACCCCAGCACGACCACACCCCAGCACGACCCCACCCCAGCACGACCCCACCCCAGCACGCCCAGCACGACCACACCCCAGCGACCACACCCCAGCACGACCCCACCCAAGCACGACCCCACCCCAGCACGACACCCCAGCACGACCCCACCCCAGCACCACACCCCAGCACGACCACACCCCAGCACGACCTCACCACAGCACGACCACACCCCAGCACGACCACGCACGACCAGCCCCAGCACGACCACGCCCCAGCACGACCACGCCCCAGCACGACCACGCCCCAGCACGACCACCCCCCAGCACGACCACCCCCCCAGCACGACCACCCCCCAGCACGACCACCCCCCAGCACGACCACACCCCAGCACGACCACTCCCCAGCACGACCACACCGCCTTGGTTGAGTGGTTGCCTGTCGTCGTGGAGTGTTTCGTGGGGTGTCTCGTGGAATGTTTCGCGGGGTGTCTCGTGGAATGTTTCGTGGGGTGTCTCGTGGAATGTTTCGTGAGGTGTCTCGTGAGATGTTTCGTGAAGTGTCTCGTGGGATGTTTCGTGAGGTGTTGCCCAGTTGGGTATCGGGAAAACGTGTCCATGCTCCACATGTCTATATCCCTTTCCGGGTTCGTGGGTCCATCATGTTCCAAACGGAAGCGTTTTCAAATCCAGGCCGTCGTTTGTTTGATCGGTTTGGTCGGGTCCGCTTGACATATCCGGATTACATTTCTTATTGGCTGAAGTATTTCCTTTTCGGATGGGGGGAGAAGCAACTCCACCGCCGCCAGGAGCGCACCTCCAGCGAGGTCCACGATGCCGCCCCGAGCTGGACATCAGGGGCGTCTCGAGCGGGAGGGGGGGCTACAGTGTCATGGGGATCCCCGCATGGCTCCTGGTCTTGCTGGTGCCAGTGGTGACACCTGTCTTCGTTCCTACACGTATGTGGCGCCTTTTTTGTTGCGGCGTCGGGGCGACTCGTCCACCTCTCGGTTTCTGAGTTGCTCCTGCGTTGCATGCTATGCTTTCGCGTTGGCTTAATATTCTAACGTCGCCCGAGGCCCCCGGCATACCGTCTCGAAGGCCGCCGAGGCGAAGCTGCTTGACATCCAGCGCAAACGGTCATCGGAAATGATTTTTGGGTTGGCGTCAACTGTGCAGCATTTGTTCAGCGTGTGCTGGTCGTCGCTGCTGTCGCGCCTAGGACAGTCAGATTTCGATTTGATGGCAGTGTTCACTGGCCTCCGCTACGACGAGACCCCGACGAAGATGAATGTCAGTGCGGGGCCAGCGGTGAAGGTGGAGCCGAAGAGGGGGGCTAGCGCGGCCAAGGAGCAGCACAGCAAACAGACCGCGAAGGTACTACAGTCCGAGGTGAAGCTCGGTGTCCTGTTTCGCGCGCCCAGGGAGAAGCCGCAATTCGTTTGGGGATATTTCCCCTTCCAAATTGGCGGCCATGGATCACGCCACTGGCGAGGTGCTCAAGGCGGCGTTGGCCGATGCCGTCCCGTCGTTGCCCCAGGAGGCCATCGACAAGTTTGCCACCAAGTACGTGGTCATGTGCAGCGACAGGGGCAGCAACAACAAACGGTTCGAGGAGCACATGAGACAGACCGACGCCGCCAGGCGTTACCTCGCACTGGATTGCGACTTGCACAAGTTATGATAGACGCTTCGCGTGTCCCTCTCGGCCCTTCCCGCAACCAGTGTCTCGTTTATGTTTCACGTGGTTTCACGTTGAAGCACCCTGGCTGGCGACTTGCTGCGAATCTGGGCGCCCGCGGTCGAATCCGAAATGGCGGGGGCGTCTGGAACTTGAGTGGATTCTTGGGTTCGCCTTGACGCACTTGAGACGCCGCGGGCCATCCTGGAAGTCCCTCGGGGTCCTTGCGCCGACTTGGAAACCCCGAGGTAGTTTTGAGAGGGCAAGAGGGCTCCAAGTGGTCCTCCCAAAATGACCCACAAGCGCAGCGCGTGTCTCACCCCACCTGCTCTTGAGTTCTCTCGGGGTCCACTTGGGGACCTCCTGGATCCCTCCGACAGGCGTTCAGAGTGCCGCCCGAAGCCCCGGCGTAGCTCCATGAGGGCCCCAAGAGGGCTCCAAGTGGACCCCAAGACGACCCAAAAGCAAGTGGCGTCACTTCGTTCGCTTTTGGGCCCTCCTGGTGTCCACTTGGGGCCCTCTTGGAACCTTTTCAGGCGCCTCCGATGCCCCGCCTGAAACCCCAGGGTATCCCCGAGAGGGCTCCGAGAGGCCCCAAGGGGCCGCTTTGGAGCTTCAAGAGGGCTCCAACTTGTCCCCAAGCCCAAGATGGCCTGACAGTAAGTGGCCTCACTCCGATCGTTTTCGGGCAATGTTGGGACCCATCCGTGGACTCCTGGAGCTTTTCTGGGGGCCTCCTGCGCCTCGCCTGAGGCCTTGTGGTAGCCCGAGGGACCCCCCCCCAGAGGGTTTCAAGAGAACTGCAAGACGACCCCAAAGCAAGTTTCACCGTGCATTTGTTTTTGTTGGGCCATGTTTGGGGTCCACTCGGGCCCTCCTGGAACACGTCGGGGTCTCATTGGGGCTCCCCTGGGGCTTCAAAGGGGCGTCGCATCACGCGGTCGTGGGATTTTCGGCAACTCCGGGGTCGTGCGGCCCGCCGCAATCGGCTGGGAACATTGGCGGATTTTTGTTACGTAATGAGTTTTGGGACCATGGGAACACGGCCGCGCGCAACATACATTCATGTACACGCGCGCATGCCCCGCCGATGCGCCAGACATTCGGGGCGAGAGGCCCGCGATAAAATAGTATCTGGGGCCCTTTGGGGGCCCTCGCAAAGGCCCCGTGGAGATGCGCGGTCTCTGGCTACACACGATGCGCCGCGTAGCGTAGCATTGCTTTTCACGAGTGATGGAAATCATTGTTTGGGGCCGGCGCGTTGGTATCGTGGTTTTCCTCATCGGTGGCTGGAGTCTTCGAAGCGAACAATGTGGCCTTGGGTCCCAGTGATCTGCCAAGATCGGGGCGACGGAGACGGGGTCCGCCGTCGCACAGATAAGCCGAGAAAACAGCTTTACGCACCTTCAGCCCCCAGGGCTGGCAGGATTTTCGGCCCAGGGCTTGCAGTTCGGGCTCGTGCAGTCTACGATTTCTGGCATGGTGAACACGGGGCTGGCAATGATGGGCAGCGGGTCCATGGACAGGTTCGCAGGTTTGCAGAATGTGGGCCCCCCTCCGTCGCGTCACCGACGATAGGGCCACAGGATGTCTCCGATTGCTTGAAACGTTATTTTGCCAGAGTGAGGGGATCGTGGGCGCGTGGCTGAAGTGGGGATCCGTGGTGAGGATTCTGCTTGTTGTCGTCGTCGTCCCAGGCGGAAGTGTCGCGGCGCGGGTGGATCTCGGCGCGGGCGGGTCGCGGCGCGGGTGCGTCGCTGTTGGTTTGCGGCGCCGATGGGTCGCGGGTGGGTTGCGGGTGGGTCGCGGCGCGGGTGAGTCGTTCGGTCCCCATCGGTGACCGCTTGGGGCCCTTTTGGAACCGTCTTGGGCCTTGGGGCCCTCTTGGGACCGTCAGAGGAATGTTTTGAAGGTTTGGGATGGTGCGGAGATTTTCGAAAGCAGTCCAAAGTAGCCAACCGTTCAACGCGGACGAAAACCTCCAAACGCACAGGCTTTACATCAGAACCACTTTTCCGGATGGTGATGCTCAAAGGTAGGGGGCCGCTCCGGGCCTGGTGAGGGAGTTCGGAGGAGCTTGGAGGAGCTCGGAGGGTCGAGCCCCCCCGAGCTCCTCCGCCCAAGCGGGGCAATCATTGTCACGAGGACGCTTGGGACCCTCTCGGGGCCGTCTTCGGGTCTTCTTGGGGCCCTCGTGGATCAATATTGGGGTCGTTTTGGTGCCCTTTGGGGACCTGAAGGGGGCCCTGGGCGGGCCCCGAGACGGCCCCAAAACGACCCCAGAGATGTGCAACGGTCGTTGCACATCTCTCGGGGCTCTCTTGGGGCCGTCTTGGAGTCCTCCTGGGGCCCTCGTGGAACCTCCCGGGGGCCGCGTTGGTGCCTTTTGGGGGCCTCAAGAAGAGGGCACTGGGCGGGCCCCAAGACGGCCCAAAGATGGCCCCGGAGATGTGCAACGGCCGTTGCACATCTCTGGGGGCCGCTTGGGGCCCTCGTGGGGCCGTCTTGGGGCCCACCTAGGTGCGTCTTGGTTCTCTCTTGGAACCGTTTTGGGGGGTGGGGCGGACGAGGGGTCGCGGGCGAGTCGCTAGGCGGGTGGGTCGGGGGCGGGTCGCAGGCGCCGCGCCCGCCCGCCCGCGCCCTCAGTCATATCCGCAATTGCGGGGTGTTGCGCTGACATCCAGAGACCTTCGGCAGAACCGAAGGGGCGATCCCGGAACTCCATGACTGAGCGGGCCCGGTTCCTAGGTGGAGAGCCCCCCCGGGACAGGGTGGGTCCGAACAGCCTCTTTGTGGCCGAGCCCTCGTGGTTGGACCCCCTGGGCCCAACGGGCTCTCGTCTGTCCCCTCCACCGCCCATCCTTCCTTTTCTCCTCCCCTCCCTCGCTCCCTGCCTCCCTCCCGTCTCCTTTTCCGCCGCTCTCGTCAACCTCTTCCTCTTCTTTCTTCCATCCTCCCCAGTTCCGTCTCTCCCCCTCGTCCTCGTTGTCCTTCCTATTCCTTCTTCCGCGTCTCTCAAATCCTCTTGTATTCTTGTCATGTCCCCCTACCTCCTCTTTGCACCGCGTGCCTTCGCCTCGCCACCGAATTCGTGACGAGCCCCCGGGGGCTTTCGCCGGGGACCTTGTAAAGTCAGAGCGCTCCGCTTTTATCTTGCAATCTGCCAAGCAGGTTCCGCCAAGTCTGCACGACGTTCTTCGAGGCGCGGCTGCGCGTTTTCCGCGGGGCGCTCCCACCGCCACCAGCTTCGGCCGAGATGCGGCATCGCACCGCTGTCCTGGATCTCTTCCTCCCGATCCGCGGAAGCTCTCCGCTCGGCCATCGGCAGAGACGTGCAACCTTGGAGGATCTCTTGCAGGGCGATTGGTCAATATCTGGCGAGCCGCAACATTATTGCCCTCCTGGGCACTGTCGTGGCAGCGCCGATGAGATCGCTTCAAATTTGGCGCCCATCTTGACGACAGCGCTATTCCCGTGCACGTTGCCACTTTGGCCTCGACATCGTTGGACGGGCAGCGACAAGGCGATGGACTGGGCGGGCCTGGGCCTCGCGTGCCACGGCATCTTGTCCGAGGTGTTGCCGGTGTGGGTGCGGTGCGTGCAATTGAAGAGAGATGCTTGCGTGGCCGATTTCAAGAGATCCCATCATGACGCTGATTTAGATGACAAAGGCTTCATGGACAGCTACGAGCACGACGTCGGCGACAACATGGGCCTTGTGGCCGACGATCCGAATTCGTGGGCGCAGTTTCAGGCCCGCTGCAGGATAAATGCTAAGGATTTTGCTTCCGCTGACCCGTCGGGCACCCTGGTGCTTTGCCGACGTTGCATGACGCCCCAGATCGAGCTGATGAATTCCTACTTCGGCCAGTCCGGGGAGGAGTGGGCCCAGCAGGAACAGTTCAAGGCCGTCAATCAAGACATGATCTTGACGCGTGTCGTGGCGTGCCACCGCGGAGAGATGACCGCGGGCTACGAGACTCGAGTTCGCGATTTGTTGTTCAATGCGGAGCCATGGGGGGTGTTGCTGCACCGGCATCGCACAGAAGCCAGTCGCGGACTGGCATGTCGCATGCTGCTCCGCGGCGCTGCTTACACCAAGTCGCTGGTTATCGACGTTCATGAGGCGTTTCCTTTTCGCCTCTTCAGCTTGCTGGATTCACCTACCGAGGAGCACGCGCAGGCGATCTTGGACACGCCGAAAAGCTTGCGCGACACTTTCACGGACCAGCACCTGGCGCAGTACAACACTCCCGCTGCGTTGGTCTCCGAGGACAGTCTGAGCAGACTCGGTGCTGTTTCAGTTTTTGCTACAACTGATATAGGTGCAATTGAATGTCGAAATGGAACAATTCATCGTGTGACCCAGGTGAGTCGGGGCAGCGCTGGCTTCGACCCGGACTTGGAAACGGTCTCATCTAATTTCATGCTCATGCGCGTGCAGGTTGCTGGGGCCACGCGCCCAGAAGCGACAGGCATCAGAGGCGCCCCGTCGCACGCTCGGCGCTAGGCCGAAACCGAACTCGAGGAGGCAACGGAAGCTCAGGGAAGATATGCGGAAGCACTGGAAGCGACGCAGCTTGGAGCTCGACGCCGCGGTTTCAACCCGACAGTTGCGCAGGCGCAGCGCTGCCCGCGACCTGGGCGTGCAGGGCACGCACGGCGGCGGCACTTGGAAAGTATTCCTGGGCTGGATGCGCAAGGGGATTGCCAGGGCCCGTTGGCCGCCCATGGAGGTCATTGGAGGCGCGTCGTTCCCACCACTTGGCCCGAACCTCGGGCCCCCGCCCTCGCCCCCCCGCCCCATATCCGCTTGGATCGGGGGGGGGGGGCGGGCGGGGGCGGCTCGAGGATGGGGCGTAGAGGTGTGGACGGCGCGCGGACTCGTCTAGGACATACTTTCGGAGTACAGAGAGGTCATGGCCACAGACACCCCCGAACGTCGCAGGCTTATCGCTGAAGGACATGCGAAGACCATCGCGTGGCAGCGATTGGGGAAGCAGCGCGCTCATGGAGGCCGGGGCCCACGTAAGAGACTCAGACTGATGGACATCGCGGGCGCAGCAAATGCATGCGTGCCAACGACTTGCGGGATCGATCGTTTGGCTGTCGTGCATAAGGATATGCAGTGCAGGAACTTGCGGGAAAAGCTCGCTCTTAACGCAGAGCGGCGCAATCGGCAGCAGCTGCTGGAGCGGTGGTCCCAAGAAGTCACGGCGGCTTCGTTGGAGGGTGGGCGGTCCATTTTCCCCAGTTCGACCACAGGCTTGCGCGCCCAGGCCGTCGGCAGCAGCTTCCCGTGCTCCGTCTTCCGATGGGATTGCCCGGTGCGTAGCCTATCGGAGAAGGTGCTACCTGCGCTGCCGGCATCTGCAAGGCGTCTTTTGGAGCAGGAGTGGAAGTCGGGCCACCGGCTCTACAAGCATTCGCAGCAACGCACCTTCGAGGTGAAGAGGTGCCCCAGCCTTAGCCGGGACGCCGGCATTGTCCTTGTGGGCAAGCAGTACGCGTCCAGGCGCTTGTTCGTACAGTCGTTGACCAAGACGCTCAAGGCTTTATTCGTGCCCAAGTCCGAGGCCAGGGCTTTCTTGGATGACGCCAAAGTGGTGCTCCACCTGCGCCGGGGCCATGACGAGCAGGCGTTATGGTACCACGCCTCCTTCTTGAATTACGGCTCTTGGGCGATGACCCTTTCTCGATTCGTGGATGATGCGAGTGTTGCTCGACAGGATCTGGCCCGTCCTGGGCATGCCCTGATGTGCGTCGATCCTCCGGAAATAAAAAACGCATGGCAATCGCTACATGCACTTGATTTTGGATCGAGTTGGTCCTGCGAGATCTTCCTGATGCAGTCTCGCGAACGTGCTGTTGGCGCAGACTTCACTCCAGCTGCTATTTCGGTCCGCCGGTTCATCGAGCCGTTCGAGTTCTGGCGCCCCATCGAACCAGCAGCGCCTGGGCCCCCGGGCGTTTTGGAGGACGCATTTGCGTGCAAATCGCCGGAGCCCGCTGGCCCAAGATAGGTTTCTAGTGTAATTGGGCACCAGGGGGGATGTTTTCGCAGTCAGGCGTGCGTTTCTTTTTATCGAGGACGCCTGCGGCGAACCACATCGGAGCACCGCCGCCCCCCGCCATCTGGCTGCGCCCACATGGCCACACGTTGAGGCAAAACTTCGCTACGGTTATGGATTGCGTGTTCTGGGTGCCGTTACTGGACTCCGGGGGGGGGGGCGTTCGGGGGAGGAAGAGGGGAAGGGGAATAAGAAAGAGGGTGGGAGGAGGAGAAGGAGGAAGAGGAGGAAGAGGAGGAAGAGGAGGAAGAGGAGGAGGAGGACGAGGAGGTGGAGGAGGAGGAGGACGACGAGGACGAGAACGCCTCTTGAGGGTCTCCCGGGGGGCCTCTTAGGCCTTGAGGCTTTGGGGGCCTCCGGGGGTCCTCTGGGGGATTCTCTGGCCAACTTCTGGCTCTCTTGGCCTGTGGTGGGGGCATCTCTGGGCCGCATTTGGGCTCTCTTGAGGCGGCGCAGGGCTGTATCGGAGGTTTGTTAGGACGTCTTGTTTACCCCCTTGGGGGCTGTTTATGAAGCCTTTTCGGCAATATTGGGATCCTCGTGGGGGCCTCTTCGGTTGTCTAAGGGCCATGTTGGAAGTCTCTTGGGCCGCCCGGGAGGCCCCCTCGCAGGTTTCTGAGACTCTTGAGCCGTCTTGAGACAACATAGTGGGGCGCCTTGAGGCCATTTTGGGCCGACTTGGAGGCATCGTTGGCGAAGTTGGAGGCTTTTGGGATCCTCTTGGACCGTCTTGCAGGCCATCCGTGGCCTAGTCATTCATGCTACCGTGTGCAAAACTTGCCGTCGTCTTGGCTTTCTTAGGCCATTTTGGGACCATCGTGGGGCCATGTTGGAGGCATATTGGGCCGCTTCGGGCCGTTAGGCCCCAGAATGGTGAGAACGCTGCTGAAATTTTCCAAGAACTTGGCGAGGTAATCTGTTCAAGTGGCTTACGCCATTCCGCCGACACCCAGGACGAGTGCAAGCTTGCGACGGTCGCGGAAGTGATCTAGTGGATCAGGAGCCTGTGGGATGCACCCTGGGGCTCTTGGGATGCCTCTAAGGCTCTAAAGGGCCTTCTGGATGGTTGTTAGGGTCATTCGGGGGGTTTCCGCGGGCCTCTTGGGGGCTTCTTGGGGGGGCCTCTTGGAGGTTTCCCAGGGCCTCTGGGGCGCGCCTCGGGGGCCCCTGGGGGGGAGATGTCCATGCACGTTCGCAAATGCCCTGCGCGCCACGGGAGGGGGGGAAGAGGAGGAGGAGGAGGAGGAGGAGGAGGAGGAGCAGGCACGCCGGCGTCTTACCGGCAACGGCCTTAATCAACGGGAGGCGAGGGAGGAGGATGAGGAGGTTGGAGAAATGGCAAAAAGACGGGAGGTGGGGAAGCGAAGGTTCTTTTCTCAGGGGTTTTGCGTGGAGGGATCAATGGTCTGCTCCTGGGGGTCCTCTGGAACCCTGTTGGGACGTCTTGGGGGCCTTCGGCCGACTAGGGATCATCGTGAGCCGTCGGGCCGTCTTGGGGCTGTATTGGTCGATTTGAAGAGGCATCTTGGGCGAACTTGGAGGCCTCTTGCACCCTCTTGGGCAGACGGCTAGCCATGTTGGGCATTCTGTACCGTCAATATGGTTGTTTTGGGCGGTATCGTTGCCAATTGGAGCCTATCGGGTTGTTTCAGGACCATCTAGGATGCTTATTGGGCCGTCTCTCGCTGGCGGAAGCTGTGAAAGCCGAGAGCGATAACATCCAACAGTAATTCCGGAGAAGGCAGCGATGGTGGCCTATTCACGGCCGCCTTGAGGACATCTTGGAACCTCTTGGGCCGCTCTGGGGGCCTCTTTACTCGTCTTGAGGCTGCTTCGGGCCGTCTTGAGGCAATATGGGTCCGTCTTTCTCTGCATTCTTGTGTTCTCTTCCGTCCCTTGGCACTTCTTGCGTCTTGCGTTCGGGATTTTTGCGTCGACATTTGCCGCGCGGCATCTCGGCACAGAGTGCGACTCATGTCGCGGCCCGTGCGAAGAACAAGTCGCCCTTCCCTGGGCTGGCCAGCCAGGAAAGTAATCTTTTTGGAGTGCCCGCAAGAATAAGAAATCGAGCCCTCCCCTTTTCCTGAGCATTGACATCAAGAAAATTCGCGATACCGATTGTTGTCGTTCAATCTTCTTGGGGTCTAGGATAAAGTGGCTGATGCGTTAGCTCCCTAAAAAAGGGAAAGGGGGGGCGAACGCATTCTTAAACCGGGCGCTGTCCTGCAACCCTGAGACAGGGGGCTGCGAATGTTAGCCTGGTCTCCGCTGCGTGGGGAATCTGTTAACAGGGGCGGGCATCAGGGCAACTTGTTTCTCAATCTCGAACTTGCATTTCGGTTTTCTGACTTGGGTAGAGAAGTACGGCCGGCACAAGGCTTAATAACTTCGGTGGTTCGGGGAGGGTACCCTTATGTTCTTCGTTTTTGTTCCATGTTCTTGTGCACCCTGGGGGAGGGTATCCTCGATGTTCTTCAGTTTGGCGCCATTCTTCCTTCGTTCTGACAAAGCTGGGGTTCGGGGCTCACGATTCGGCTACGAGCGTCCGAGGCGGGGGCGGGGCTCTCCATGTTCTTCGGTCCCGAAGTCACGGTGCGGTCTTCAGCAACCGCGTGCCCCTTCATGATGGTGGTGCGATTGCAATCACCCTCGCATGTTCTTAGGGGACTGTTTGGCGTTGGTGGGCTTCGGGCTGCGGGGCTTAGGGCGTGCGGATGCAGGCTTGATTGAGGCTACGTGCGCACGTAGGCCGCAGGACTCGCGCGTCCGCGGCACGGGCAGGACCCTCCATGTTCTTCGGTTTCGATTTCGAGGTGCGGCCTCCAGCAACCGCGTGCCCCTGATGATGGCGGCGTGAGTGCAATCACCCTCGCATGTTCTTAGGGGAGAACTTGGCGCTAGTGGGCTTCAGGTTTCGGAAAGTAGGGTGCGCGGCTGCAGGCATGAGGCGGAAGAAACTCGACCCAGGGAAACGCGCAAAACCCGGGAACCCACACCGCGAACCCAGAAACGAAAAAACCCGAACCCGAGAAACGACGCACACACGGACCCGAGAACCCAGAGCCACGACCCAGAGACACCCGACCCACGCCAACAGGGAAACCCAGACACGCACGTCGAGATGCTGAAGACACGCCTTCTCCTCCTACTCCTCCTCCTCTCCTACCCCTCCTCCTCCTCCTTCGGGAGGAGGGGGGGCATCCTCCTCTTCCTACCCCTACTCCTCCTCCTCTCCTACCCCTCCTCCTCCTCCTTCGAAGGCCCCAGTGCCAGCGCCCGCATGCGTCACCCACACCCATTTCGGCACACCCTCACACGTTTCGTGGCTCCATGGGGAGCTCCACCGAAGGCCCCAGTGCTGCCGCCCGCATGCGTCACCCACACCCATTTCGGCACACCCCTCACACGTTTCGTGGCTCCATGGGGAGCTCCACCGAAGGCCCCAGTGCCCGCGCCCACATGCGTCAGCCACACCCATTTCGGCACACCCCTCACACGTTTCGTGGCTCCATAGGGAGCTCCACCGAAGGCCCCAGTGCCCGCGTCCACATGCGTCACCCACACCCATGTCGGCACACCCCTCACACGTTTCGTGGCCCCCGGGCCCCATAGGGAGCTCCACCGAAGGCCCCAGTGCCCGCGCCCGCATGCGTCACCCACACCCATTTCGGCACACCCCTCACACGTTTCGTGGCTCCATAGGGAGCTCCACCGAAGGCCCTAGTGCCTGCGCCCGCATGCGTCACACACACACACCCATTTCGGCACACCCCTCACACGTTTCGTGGCTCCATACGGAGCTCCACCGAAGGCCCCAGTGCCCGCGCCCGCATGCGTCCCGCACACCCATTTCGGCACACCCCTCACACGTTTCGTGGCCCCATAGGGAGCTCCGCCGAAGGCCCCAGTGCCCGCGCCCCGTAGTCCGTCGTCGCCGTCGTCGTCGTCGTCGGAGTCGTCGTCGGAGTCGTCGTCGTCGTCGCCGTCGCCGTCGTCGTCGTCGTCGTCGTCGTCGTCGTCGTCGACGCCGAAAACATCACCAAGGACCAGATCTTTTGAAACAGCTGGCTCAAAAGATTTGGTCGCTCCGTCGTCGTCGTCGTCGTCCGTCGTCGTCGTCGTCGCCGCCCAAGACATCACCAAGGACCAAATCTTTTGAAACAGCTGGTTCAAAAGATTTGGTCGCTCCGTCGTCGTCGTCAGTCGTCCGTCGTCCGTTGTCGTCGTCGTCGTCTTCGTCGTCGTCGTCGTCGCCGTCGTTGTCGTCGTCGTCGCTGCTGCCGAAAACACCACCAAGGACCAAATCTTTTGAAACAGCTGGTTCAAAAGATTTGGTCGCTCCGTCGTCCGTCGTCGTCGTCGTCCGTCGTCGTCGTCGCCGCCGAAAACACCAAGGACCAAATCTTTTGACACAGTTGGTTCAAAAGATTTGGTCGCTCCGTCGTCGTGGTCGTCGTCGTCCGTCGTCGTCGCCGTCGTCGGAGCCGTCGGGGTCGGGGTCGGAGTCGGAGTCGGCGCCGGAGTCGCCGTAGTCCGTCGTCGCCGTCGTCGTCGTCGGAGTCGTCGTCGGAGTCGTCGTCGTCGTCGCCGTCGCCGTCGTCGTCGTCGTCGTCGTCGTCGACGCCGAAAACATCACCAAGGACCAGATCTTTTGAAACAGCTGGCTCAAAAGATTTGGTCGCTCCGTCGTCGTCGTCGTCGTCCGTCGTCGTCGTCGTCGCCGCCCAAGACATCACCAAGGACCAAATCTTTTGAAACAGCTGGTTCAAAAGATTTGGTCGCTCCGTCGTCGTCGTCAGTCGTCCGTCGTCCGTTGTCGTCGTCGTCGTCTTCGTCGTCGTCGTCGTCGTCGTCGCCGTCGTTGTCGTCGTCGTCGCTGCTGCCGAAAACACCACCAAGGACCAAAT